TTCTGGATGGAGCCGCAAAACAAATTATCAATTCCTCCCCTGAAGAACGAGATACTCGTCTCGAACCCGAATGGGATTCCGCCATGAGTGATGGATGGAGGTTACTCGATTAATGTATAAGAATGTTGCAAAAGCTATGAGGTATAACCGGAAAAGTAAGAGACATTTATCCAGTATCAAATATTCTTCAACATTAAAAAATATCTGAACAAGTTTTTTAATATTATGATTTTAATTACAAGCCTTTTCGTGGTATTGCAAATATGTATTCCGTCTTTTAATTGCATCCTTCAAGTTAATTGACATATTTCAAGACTTGTGATGTATTTTCTGCCAGTTAGACTGCGGAAAAACCTCCACATGAACTTTCATATTTACTTTCTGAAAAGTTAAAATTAACTTTATAATAGTGCGCTATTTGTTTGCCTCAATGAGAAAAAAATCATCATAAAGGCACGAGTTAATAACGTCTTTTCAAACACCTGAATATTACACAGGCACTAATTACACACAGAGATCGTGCGAATATGCATGTTTATATAAAACTAAACTTGTTTGGACGAGCAGTTAATGAAGCTTGTAGTCACATATCGGGTTTCAGATTTGACACCTTGATAAAGAAGGATCGCAGGTGTAGGAAAAATGACAAACAAAGTCCCAGCAGGTTTTCGACACCCTGTAGAGGCGTTGCCGAACGTGTGCGGCGTCCGTGCCCGATGGCCCGTTGGCGGGGCAGGGCGCAGGGGAGCGCGGAGGGGGAGGGGGCGGAGGCGGAAGCGCGGAGGCCGTGTCGCTGTCTGCGGAGACGAATGGCGGCAGCGCGGAGCACGCGGGCCGCGCGCGCGGGCTGCCCAAGCGTGTCCCCAGCTCCGGCCCCGTCCTCGCCCACGCCGCGCCGCGGCTCCTGGCTTCTGTCCTCAGCCCCACCCCCGCCACCACCCCAGATCCGGCCTTCATCCCCCGGTCTCTGCCACCAACTCCTGCCCTGCTCACGGTTCTGTCGCCGAACCCAATCCGGCTTCTGGCCTCAGTGCCGGTGTCGGCTCTGTCATAGCCTCACTTCCCAGCCCCTGACTTCGGCTCATGCCCTCATCTCCATGTCCGGCCCTCTGACTTCACCACCAACTTCAGTACTTCTGTTGATCCTATCCCCGCGACCACCCCGGCATAGTCGTCAGCCCCGTCCTCATTACCACTACTGATCCTGACCCATTTCAGTTACTGACTTCTCCCTGACTCTTGTCCCCTGATTTCTCACCAATTCTCGTCCTTCACGGTCCTGACGTTGCCCTCCTCCCAGCTCCTGTCCTTTCACCCATCCTCACCACCACTCCCGCTTCTGACCTCGGCGCTTGTCCTCATTCCAAGCCTTGTCTCCCGGTCTTGTACCGTCCCCTCTCTGGTTACTCACAGTAGACCCGTCCTCAACCCTCTCTGCACCACCACTTTATTTTCTGAAATCGGCTCTTTTCTTCCCCGTCCTCTGCCCCTGACTCCATCATCAGCACGTCGTCTCCCCCACTCCAGGTTTAGCCTTCACTCCCGGCCTCGTCTCCCCGTCCTCGTCTCCCCGTCCTCATCTCCCATCCTAATCCTCGACCTCATTCCCCTTCCTCATCTCCCGTCGTCATCTCCCGTTCTCATCTCCGTCCTCATTCCCCGTCCTCATCCCCCGTTCTCATCCCCCGTTCTCATCCCCCGTCCACATCGCCCGTCGTCATCTCCCGTTGTCATCTCCCGCCCTCATCTCCCGTCCTCATATCCCATCCTCATCCCTCCGTCCTCGTCGCCCTGCCATTGTTGTACTGCCCATCGTCAAAATTCTGGTAGCAATCGAACAATAGGAATTCTGCTAGGAATCGAAGTCCTATCAGTTGATAAGTTAAATTTTGGAATGCATGATCAATGGAAACGTCAAGGGTCTAAACGCCAAGTAGAAGGTGTAGGTAAAACAAAACGAATTGCAAACACAAACATTTTTTTTGGGATATGCGAAGTTTTTTAGATTTTAGTGACCCATAGGTTCTTACGAAATTATTATTCTGGACGCATACTGTAAATACAATGAAAATTGTAAACTGATGTGAGAAATCATGATTATTGCACTCAGCCTCTTAACAAAGTAAACGCTTCAACTGCATGCGTTGTTATGCAAACTACATTGAGTATAATGTCTGAATACAATCACTCCAATTTGTAAGTAATGAAACACGATCGTAGTGATCACCACACTGTCACTACTCTTATAGAAATGTTAGCTCAATGATGGTGATTCAATCGAAATTTGTAAATAACAAAATAGGTTGGTGGCATGTCAATAACTAGACATGAATCTATTCTTCTCACATATCTGTTTCATCTATATGTTCATTACTTACCACCGTGTCTGCAATTTCATTACGAGTATGATCAGATTGGGCTTACAATGCAACTCTAAGTTAAAGGCTCGAAAGTAATCAAGTCGAGTTTCACACTTAATTCAAGTGGAAGAAATAGAAGTACGTATTTGCTGATGCAGGTACTGTTCTATTTTTTTCTGTTGGAGGAAAAGTACCACCTGTTAAGAACATTTGTTTAGTTTTACTCATAATGCTTGACCTACTCGTACAGTACTAAATTTCTTATCTGAAACTCAATAGAAGAATACCCTTTTCTGCGTAGATCGTTCGCCTAAAATGAGGCTTGTTCAATTTATTTCCAAACACAATTTTATTCCTGTAGAAGCCATTTGAAAATTGCAAACTTTTCAAAATGGTTATAAACTTGATTGGGAAATGGTCCCTTGTTATTCTCACACTTAAACATGTTTCATGAACTACAAGTCTAAAAACATAACAATTCAACATCATAATTAGTTATTTCCGGGTTTGAAGGGCGTGGTCCAACGGAGACTTGTCCATACGTTTCGCATTGTCAGTCAGTGTTGCCAAGAAGGACACTTTGCCCCCGCCAGAAACGCCACTGATGATGCCTGCCACAGTTGCAGGCGAAAGATATGGACTAGTCTCCGTTGGACCACGGCCTTCAAACCCTGAAATAACTAATTATGATGTAGAAACCGGCCGTGAAAGCCTACATTGTATGGTAACAGTTCAAATTACAATATTGTATAACTTATTCTTTAAATACGAACTAGTGGTGCTAAAACAGCACGTACTTTCTCACCCGTATTTCCACGCAAAATTACGCGAAACGTACTCAAATTTTGTTGTTGAATTTTTTTGTTTGTTGTTTGTACAAAAAAAGTTGTACTTGATCTTATTTCAAAATCTGTCTTTAAGGAACAGATTTCATTAAGGAAAAAATATATATCTTCATAAGTGTGGTTGTAGAAAAAGCCGAAAATATTTTTAATTTTTGCAATTTTTGAAAAATCAGAGTTTTCAACTAATATGAAAACTGTATCATTCTGTTTAACATCCTTCAAACTATCTAACAACGAAATTAATTCAAAAACGAAGGAGTCATTTTTTTTAAAATTGGGAAAACATTCCTGGGTCTTCATGTAATGTACCCCTCAAAAATAAAGTATATGGTTCATATTCAAGGCGCCGCGCCATCAGAAAGATTGATTGAAAGAAATCAATGTGGGAGAAAATGGGTGGAACAGTTTAGCCTCTAGCGTGGTTCACAGACGGACAGACAGACGTTTTTCGATTTTTCGGTATAAACGACAAGGACAATGTTTTGTAAAACTTGTATTCTGGCTACACCACGTGTTAGAGAATTTTTTCTTCTAAATTTAGCTACTGTACTTGACCGCTTAACCGTTCAGATGGTTTCTTCAAATATCCATCTCCGGTTAAACCGTTCACATGATTTTCTCCAAAATTGATATTCCCCAATCGATCTGGCTGATGTCGCGGCTTCTTGAATTTGAAACCGATATTTTAATTTTGAGGAAACTTTACATGAAACCCCTGGGACATTTTTCAAGTTTAAAAAAAACTGTGTTCATCGTTTTTGCTTAAATTTTGTTGTTGTATAGTGTAAAGAACGTTGTAGAGGGTCTCATGTTCGTTTAAAACTATGATTTTTCAAAAATTGCAAAAGTTCAAAATTTTTTCGGCGTCTTTCTATAATTACATTTATGAAGATAGATATTTTTCCCCTTTATGAAATCTGTGCCTTAGAGATAGATCTTGAAATAAGGTCAGGTACAATGTTTCGAAAAGTTTGAGTACTTTTTGTGCAGTTTTGTGAAAAATACGGGGGAGAAAGAAAGTGTTTTATTAGTACCATTAGTTTTTTGTGTGTGCGTGTGTTCGTATTTCATGTCATTCTTTACTCGATGTAATTACAATGAAAACCATATTATTCCGTAACTTACCAAATTTCACTGTTTTGCATAAGTTAAAAAGGCTTTTTCTAACTTCCACGAGGGATATATTTCAAATTTAGCTATTTCCTCCTAAAATGTGGTGAGAACATATTCCAGTTTTCCACGTATAGACAAAGAAGAGTTTTGTTTCTCTTGAAAAATCTGCGCAGTAGAACGAGCGGGCTGTGTTAGGAAACGTCTCATTTAAATTTTAAACGTTCCAAGAAATTTTTAACATCCTATGTTATATTTTACAATCGAAATCATTAAGCGCTTTATAAATCCCTGTAAAATGCTAAGGCATTTTCTTATTTTAGGTTTTGGTAATCTCGTTCATCTCTAAACGACAACAAACTACGTATTTCTCAGGCTTAATCAATGTTCAGAAGCATTTTGTAAAATGTGGACGTGACGTTAGAATGTAAAAATCGTGATCTCATAAAATGTGTTCAAATTGTGCATGGTGAAATGTGATCTGGTACGTACTGTAAATATTCGTTTCATCACTATTGCAAAGTATGCTCTCGGAGATAAATTCAAGGGTTTGTTTTATTGCTTCTAAGTGTATGTACTTGTATGAGAAGTGTGTGCGTAAGAGGGTATGTGTTATTTCAGTACTAAAATGAACGAAAGGAAATTCACAGGAAGTGTCAATGAAACTCCTTTTTCAAATTATGGATGCATTTATTGAGAGACTCACGAACGTACATCTGCCGAAAGCTTAGGCATCGGCCACCTCCATGTTCATGGCGAAACATCCCGACGGCGATATCTCTGACTTGTAGGTCCAATGGCCTTTGAAGGAGTACAGCATGCAGAGATCGCCCTCTTTCATCATGTAATTGCTCAGCGTGTAGTTACCCTGAGAAAAGAGAAGCAGACTCAGGAGGCATGTCGACGCGCATGCACACACCGTTGCGCCGCCTCTCACGTCCTTGGCAGATCGCGAGAGACTCTGCGCGTCTTTGGCACGGCGGACTTAAAAGTACAAAGTCATCACAGTGCTTAGTGTAGGATTGGGATGCTGACATAAGAGGAACTTGAATTCCACGATACGTATTTTAAGCTTTTTTTACTTGTATTTTGTTTGTTTTTCATTAAAGACATATTTGGGGAAGAACACAACTTTATTCTTCACTCTGGGAAAATGAAGAAAACACAGCCATTTGCCATAATGATAATGTTATTTTGCCTTCGTAAGGTAATTTTAATTTTTTTAAATATAAAATGATCAATTTTTATTGTCTGGTAACGACCAGGTATCCCCATTTTTATGATTTTCACTTTACATTGTATTGGTTTAGTTAAATAATTTTTCATTCTATTGCAACAATAAGAAGCTAACTAAAATTAAACTATTCTAAAAGTGTACGTTCAGTTCTTCTTTAAGGACATATTGAGATTTTAGCGCATGTTCTGCATTTTTCGATGCCTGATGCTATACTATTTAGAAATTGTAAACCGATATTTTAGTGAAAATTAGAAACCTATAAGTAGGTTCTTTGTGCAGCATAGAACCTATTTTTAGGTTTCAGTATGTCATGAGTCCGATATTAGTGTTTCATAGGCAGCAGTGGGCTGGTACAATACAAATGAAAAGTGTGTGTGCGATGTTCTGGAACTACAATTCTGTTTGAAGTTATAGCGATCAGAAACCTCGAAACCCAGGTGGAGCATTTCGTTGTAAGCCAGAAGGCTGACAGTCTGGAGCAACCGCTGCACTATGCCGGGACCTCCAAAGCCTCGGATTACCTCGAATGAATCCGTGAACGGAGTTGAACAAAGAATGAAACAAAATGCACCCGTTGCTTATTTTCTCCGTTTTGTTAATTAACAAATAACGTCAAAGAAGTGGTGGAGAAAAACCTCGAAATTACACAATTCTTTGAAACGATTCGAAATGTATTTTTGGGTTGTGTAGCGTTGAAGTCTGAATCGCTGATCACAGAATTATATTACATCTACTACCCAATACCTTCTAGTTAGAGAGTTGAATAATATTTATTTATTTTGTTTTTTTCAGATCAATTAATTATTCATACAACACCAAGGAAGTTTTATTTTGAAAAGGCTTTTATTTGAAAAGTGATTTCATAACTTCGTAAGACCACAAGACCTAAAAAACACCTGTTCTGATTCTATGATCTTATTAAAACAATTAATAAAAACTTCATGTTTTAGAAAAAGTTAAGCTTGAACAAAGAATAGCTAAATCGTACAATTAAAATCTAATTTTTGAACCCATTGTTTTTCAAATTTTTAAAATAGATTACTTACATCAATTACATTTCTAACTCCTAATTTGATAATTGAAAAGCTCGATAGACCAAGAGGCTATCCCACATTTTTTGTGAATTTGTGTTTTTAGCATTAAATATAACTTCAAATATTATTATTTTAGTGTAATGTGTTATTTAAACCCAGAATAAACTTACACGCAAGTGTACTGTGTTTAAAAGTTCAAAAATGTACTTTGTAATATTATAAAAGTTCTAGTAAAACCCTCAATATCTCAAAACTGGTACAATGTGGGATAAACGCTTGTTCTACTGAGCCCTTCATTTTCCAAATGAAGTAACAAGCCTACTTTCGACTTCTCGCGCCAAGGTCACACAGACCATCTTCCCTCCGATTTAAACTGTGGCGCCTCATAGCCACGAGCTGGACGAAGAGGGGGACACTGACATCCAATCGGGAGCTTCGTTACGATTTATATTATTGGTATTGGAACGCCCGATTGGATGACAATGTCCCCCTCTCCTTACAGCTCGTGACCTGGGGGAGTCTCTACAAATAAATCGAAGTATTGCTACGCTGCTGGGGGCTAACGCTGGTGTTACACTCACAGGCAGCATCGGACAGGTGCGCGGGAAAGGACGGCCGTCCACCTCCTCCAGGTGGCTCATGAAGTCGTCCCACATGGAGCCCTTCTCGTCCAGGCGGTCGCACACGTCGCCCGACTTCATGTTGACCATGGTGCGACACGTGGTCGGGTTGGACGGTTGCTGGCACAGGCGCCCCGTGATGTGCAGCTGCAACAGTCATAAGAAGTAAGTCGATTCCTTCACGTAAGGCACGACAAGGGATAAGGAAACATACGTTGTTCATTTGCCTTTGCAAATATCATGCACACGTAATCACGGCTCGAATCAATAAATTCTCGGCTATCCGGGAGGCGCCGCGTCGTTAGCTGGGAGGCCGAAGTTTCGCCCGACATGTCACAGGCTTCCTCAGAGCAGTCACGACGCGGCGTGACTCGACCCGGCGTTTCCCGGATAGCCGAGAATTTTTGCAAATATCATTTTTTACACGGAAAGAAATATTGTCATTATTATTATTACTATTATTATTAAATCTTGCTAAAAAACACTCGTTGCTACCTGCATTCATTATTCAACTATACATAGTTCAAGAGCTAGGAAAGGAATTCTATAGTTCACAAAAAACGTGCACAGATTGTGCTTCTCCCCCACAGTACGTCACAAAGTTTTAACTGTTTTTGATGTTAAATAAATACAGTGATCACGACACCACACCGTCATCATCCTTCAGTTTACGATAAGGTCCAAGTTGATGGTACCGTCTGCCTTGTGCGGCATTTTTAGATATCGAAAGTTGTTCACACTGTAACCATCCGACTTATTATAAAAAAATGGGACTCATTTTCGTGCATTCAGTGTGTTCAAAGAATGAAATTGCACACTGACAAACTGTGTTCTTTAAATATCTAAGAGTGGCAAATGAGCCGAAGACGTAAATAACGAGTGCTGGCAACAACAAGACAATTGAACAAAAAGTTCAACGTGAGCAAAGCAGATGCATTGCTTGAAATCGATTTTCTGAATATGACAAACGTCAAGCATATAATCATATACTCAACTTCTTGATTAAATGTCTGAGAACCAAGCACAGAATTTACGTAATTGCAAAAGATTATTGAATACAATTGTTATGAAAATTATAACGTATTCAATTGCTTAGTTAATTCTACTCTGCTTCAGTTGTATTTATTCATAGAACCAAAACGCTGAACAATGAAAGTTATAAATGCCGCTTTTGCCGAAGGGAAAAGAACCTCATTAAAATTCTGGGCCGGAGAGGAAAATTCATATAAAACTCTCATGCACACAACACCCAGCGTCGGTTGTTCGAATTTTTATGATACTTAACTGGCATGTACGATATCGAAAGTACATCGAGTCAAAATTTGAAGTCCTCTCAACTGTTGGTAGAAGCGCTACGAACAAAAAGAGTGTGTTCCACAAGATCACCATCAGCAGACTGCAGAGCATTGTCTAGGCACGAAGGTCGCGGTTCGGTGCTACTCCAACGCAGGGCGTGGAGTGAAAGCGCCCGGTCGTGAGCGGGTGAGAATAATACTGCTCAGGAAAACACGCCTGTGCATGGACTTCTGTATCGGTACGCTGCCTCGTCGATTCGTCGAAATTGTCCGCTTAATAGTTGATCGGGACCTTTGTGAAAGTTCTGTTTCCGCACATAGCGCTTATTCTAATAGGCAAAAGCACTTAAAACTGCGGTTTTCTCTTTGATAAAACCTTGTAGATAGTATTCTCGTATCGAATGATGAAGTTTCATAAGAACCCTAGCGTCGCACGCGATAGGCGTTGCGCGTCAGCAAAGCAAAGAAATTATACTCACGAGGAGGGGAAATTTGTTATCGCGATATCAGTGATAGCACTATTATGCTGCTAAATGATCATATATTAATGATATAAGCCCAATAATTATAACTGGAAAGGATGTATAAGTTTGATGAGTCAGTGATTACTAGTTATAAAGGTAAGGAATGAATTATGATGGAGTAATGGTGGAATAAAATGCAAGGGAGAAAGGGAGGACCCACAAAAATCTTCTTTGATCCCGCAAATTCTCTTTCCCCCCTGCAAATTCCACAGAGAGCGATTGGTTCTGGAATACCGGACCCAACAATGGACTAAAGAGTCTGAACGCTGCACCTCGTGTCGCCTGGTGTAGAGATGCGACATCGATGTCAATATTTCCCAAACAAAATGTTGTATATAAAATCATCCGTGTTTTAAACATCGATTTATTAAAGAAAAAAATTTTAACATCGATATTTTGTGCTTGATATTTTTAAAAAAGAATGCATCGTAAACAAAAAAATTACTCTTTTTTGAAAGTTAAATTTTAAAGAAAACTAATGATTTCACTGGTAGATCATGTTTTGGAACGCTGTGTGTAGGCAGTCTGTCTCTCGCTTTCCCGATGCCCGGGTGTTTATTACGTCTTTCCTCGTATTTCGCAAGCGGAGAGACGATTAACGTATGCGTCCACGGATGATCCTGTGGGACTCGACCCATAAGAATGTTTTCATAATTGTCCTTAATAATGTTTAACGGTTAAATGTTAATTATCAATTAATTAACATATACACTCTCAAATTAAATTTCCCCCCAACCGAACACGAATTTGAAAGGTTACCAAGTTAGTTTTATACACATTGATGTTCAAAAACATCGACGGGTTAGGGACGATGTATATTTAACATTAATGTTTTAATTTTTAACCGTTATGTTTTAAGGGTCAAGGCCAAGAGACAACGCACCTATTGCTCACGCAACTTTTCTTGATACACGAGCTCCCTTGTCCTTCCCATCGCTGAATAGCACTGTCCATTGAGATACTCAAGTCCGACTGGGAACGGCACGTACCAATTTACAATGCTGCCAAAACCCACCTCGTACCTTCAAAATAATCGCATTCCTCGAGCCACACTTTGGCGCGATAAATTCATAGCAATAGTTGGTACGCCCTTTTACGCCATGACATAAGCATAACCCTACCTTTCCCGCGCCCCCTGCTGTGGAATATTAATAAAACTTGTGCATAGCACAGCGCGCCGGGAAAGTCTCTCCGCAGTGGCACCTTGCTGGTGAGAGTGCATCCAACAGAAATTACGTTGGTAGCTCGGGATGTAGCGTGAAACCATACTCACCACAATCGTAATAGATGTTGGAAATATTGTTCCCTTCATTTGTTTCCGAGGGATCCGGTCGCTACCAACGTACATGCGATTTTTAACAGGAGGCCCTGATTCGGTTCAGCGCGGAGAGGCTATCCAGGCGGCCGTGAGTCTCACCTCAAGCGGCGGCCCGAGGCCCTCGCGGATGAGCACGTTGCCCGAGAGGCCGAAGTGCGTGCGGTTGACGCGCACCACGCGAAAGTTGATGTGAACCAAGGCGTCAGCCTCGCCGCAGTCGTTGGGCTGGCTGGGCACCAGGCGCCGCCCCGCGCACGCGCCCTGCACACACACACACACGCGCGCGCGCCACTGCTGGAGCGCTCAAAAGATCCTTGTGTTTCTGGGACACTCAACAACTATGGTCATTAGTCTTGTGTTGGTGTAGTGCGTGTTATATCCCGGGGGATGGTGGGCTGGAACGTGAAATCCGGTGCCGACTTAAGGTAAAGGCACCGGTAGTTGACACATCATCAGTAGTTGGCACTTTCAAATATAATCGTTATAAACAAGAAAATAATTATCATGTAATTATCGCTTTTCACGATTTCTGAACAGTGGATCCATCTGCATTGTGAATCATTAACTATCATACCGGTCTGGCAATCATTGTGATTTGAATGATTTGTTGTGAATTCAAAAGTGTCCACTACTGATGACATGTCAACTACCGGTGTCTTTATCTTACACGTTGTCTTGCAGGTATTTTCCTCCAAAATTTCCCCCAGCGAGGCATGTCCTAGCCGAGCCAAGCTGACGAATTTTCTCCTGACAAGTATGGTAGTGCAGCGCATGTCAGTGTGTGTAAATACGGGGGATGGAGGATAGGGACAGAAAAGGGAAGCGATCCGTGGTACGTTTGTTACGACACTGCTCCGACATTCGTCTGGTGTTGATCGCATTAACTACTAAAAGTATCGCAGTACCCGGCCGGTAAAATTCTCCTTCAGATAGCGACAGAATTAGGCCTACCTTTCTCGCTACAGTAAAAATTCCGTTACCGTTGGGAGTCAAACCCTAGAACCCCTCCCCCACTAAATCAACGACTCCGCAGAAGCATGGGTGGTGTCGCTGCGCAACCGCAGCCGGTGGGTACCTTAGATTTTTGATTGATTAGTTATTCCGGACGCATCAATTGCTGAGTTCATTAGTTTCGAAAGTGTAGTTTGTTTTATCGTAGGGGGAGGTGACGACGATCTTCCCCCGCCGGATAATGAGACTCTCGGGATAAGCTCTAAGCTTTCGACTGGTCTCTCGGCATTTGTGACCGTGTAGTGCATGTTAGTGTCAAAAACCCTACCACCGTCAGGATTCGAAGCTAAGACCTCCCGGTGGGTGATCTGGGCTGTGCGGGACGGCGTGGCGCGTGTCCCATCACGCGGCACCCGATTTGACCCCCCCTCCCCGCGCTGCTAACTGGCGCCCTCCGATTGGCCGCTGCTTCAGCCAGTAGTACTCGGCCCAGACTGACCATCACGGCGCATACCAGCCCTGAAGAAGACCACAACAGGATGGTCGAAACGTTGGAAACAGCCTTCGACGCGGCGTCACCCGGACAGCTCAGATCACCCACATGACTCTGGTCTCGGAAGCCTACGACTTCAAGACCTCCCGGTGATGATATCAACCTTCCTGCAATGACATCAGTTGATCCCCTGAGCAGTACTCCCGGTTCTAGTGTCGAAAATCCGCTACCTTCGAGATTCCAAACATAGTATCCGTTCCCCAATCAACGACGTAACGGTGTCGCTGAGCTACCTCCGCCGGTGCGCACCTTGGAGACGAGGCTGAAGGCGTCGGCTCGGAGCGCCACGAGGGCGATCGCGGCCAGCAGCAACGGAGCGGACGGCGGGCTGTATGCCATGGCGGGTGGCGCGTTGGGCGGGCAGCTGGGCAGGCGATAGGCGCGGCGCGCGGGCGCTTTATAGGGCAGCGCCGCCCCGTCGTTAGCGCCCGCCGCCGGAAGCCGCCACCCCCGCCCGCGCACTCGCCCTCGCGCTCGCCCTTTGTGCGCACGCGCCGCGACACGCCCGGGGGCGCGGCGTCACCCGTCATCACCCGCCCGCGCCAGATCCTCCGCCCGATACCGCTTCCGGCGCCGTGTTCGCCCGCTCATTTCCCGTCGCGTCCCGCCCCGCCCGCGGCCTCGGTACCTGCGCGTCTAAATTAATTTTATTACGTTAGCGGATCCCAACGCGCGAAAAAGGTTCGCGCGGCGATGTCACGCCGGTAGGTTTGCTGCGCATTTGAAGAGCTCGTTTCCAGGGCGATGAATCTCCATTTCTGCTATTTTCTGGTTTTATTTTCAAATGATTCTGACGAGTTTCTCCATCTTACTCTCAAATATTGTGTTAAAAAAATAACGTTTCTTTAACGGTATTCGAAAAGTGTTCAATATAATCGTAATATGAAAGGTTATTTCCGTTTTCTGAAAAATTGCATTTCTTGAAGATAACTCACGTTAGAAATTTTCTTCTCACTTCATTTACTCACTGATATTTCTTGAGCAGCGAGGGTTACGAGAAAAGGATGGACTGCATTTGTGTCGTAACGCCTTTTAAGACTGTGCGACGGATGCGGCCCGGAGATGGCGGCGGTAATGACGGCGACAATAGCGCCAACGACAAAAACAAACTCGAATCACGAAACAATTACTTTGTCAGTATGTAAAAGTTTCTGATCAGGATATTACAATTCATCCCTTGATTATTATGAAACACTCTAAATAATTTGTGTTTTTTTAAAATTTGTGCTCTTGGGAAAGAAATCCAAAACTAAGTTGTGAAGTGGAGACTGGACCGAAGTGCTCTTTAATCTCCTCTGTCTCTTCAATAACGTGTGTGTTCGTTCGACTCTTTGAATTTGCAGCCTTTTTGAGAAACTTCTCGTAAACAACAAAGGAAATAACTATTTCATGGACTTTGTAGTATGTGACAATGCTTCTCAACTCATTATCCCCAAATTAATTTTGCTGCATGTTGCGGGAACTCATTTCATATTTTGTCGTTGCACCTCTTCGAGCAGGAGCATTGTTGGAACTATCTAGTTTTAGAGGAAGACCGTCGCCTGTCATTAATATGTTATTCTAACAAGCGTACAACGTTTTAGCCATTTCCTTTAATTCAAAAACTAACTTTCAAAAATTTCAACATCTTTTGTATTTTGTTTAGAATGTATGCAATTCAAAAAGTTGGCCTGAAAGTGAGTAAAAAGTATTAAAAATTACACTATAATAATGGAATATATGGACGTTAATAGATGAAAGTCTTCAGATATCTTACGGCTGCACTACTTTTCGGAAAGAAAATGAGTTTCATTTTTACTTCCCTTACTGCATTTACGTAGTAAAAAAGTGATTGTAATGCTGCGGGAAAAAGCGGCAATTTTTCGACAGAGAAGCTTGTACTATGGCTCCCTGGTACAGAAAGTGCGGATAAATCTTGTTTCTATATCAAGAAAAGTACTTCTTCCATCTCGTTCTGTGGTCAAAATCCACGTTTTGTAGATCCTTGATACCGAAAAATTCCAGTTTAGACGATTTTCTCCAAAATTGATATTCCTCGGTCGATCTGAACGAACTAGCAGCCCTGGAGTTTGAAACAGGAGATGAATTAACTAATTGATTTGATTAGTATTTCCGGACGCGTTAAACCACTAGTCCTGCCAGTATAGTGCAATTTTTGCTCGGGAGTTGGCGGTGATCTTCACACGCTGGATGAGATGATCCGGTGCCGAACTACTCGTCGGCTAGTGAGCTCTTCCCTAACCAGATCTCTCCCACCAGCATGGCACCACCTCGGCCTAGAAGGCGAACGTTCAACAATCAACCATTGCTACGAAGAAAGGTCAGGGTGCAAAATAAGAAAATTAAGACATATTAATTTCAAGTGTAATTTTTGCACAGTGTTTTGTTCTATTTATAAAATTTGTACTTTCATTTTTTTACTATCAAAAATTCAAAATATGAAACGTATACTATATCGCGCAAAATTGCAGACCTCTCTTTTTGCATCATTGTGGTTTCTCCATTGTGTCCCTTACATTTTACTAAATATCTGCACCTACGAACTTACGAACAAGTTGATATATGACTACCTTCTGTATTCTTTTTATTATTTCAATTTTTAATTTTCCTTTTTTAAATTGAGATTAAATAAAAACTCTTTCTTAAAACTGACTTCCTTTCCAATCTCTGAGACGAACATTTTACAGTAGTTCAGATGAATCGTGAGATAATAAATAAGAATTCAAGTGAAATAATGTCGATATAGTATTTTAACGTACGGCACATTATAAAACAAATTCTTCACTGTAATTCAAAATATTCTTGCAATCCAATAAGACTTTAATGAATTGATTCCCTTTAAAATATTCATCTTTGGCTTGACGTTGGCAATATACAAGTTATGCCGAACGACTATGTTCTAGACTTTTCAATCGAAACACAGGAGCATTTACCAGAACGTAATACTTTATAACAGAGTTGCCCAAAAGAGCTGATATCGTGGAAACTTTCATATATGTCTTTCTCCAATCGTCAGCCGCTACCTCACATTATTTTACATCAACTGATTGTGTGTAATCTCAGCCTTCATTGGTCATAAAGACAACGAGACATTTCACAAATACATTGATCACAATAAACAGACCTGTTGAACGTGTTTTCCGGTGGAGGAGTTTACTCTAAGTTGGAAAATTGTTTAAAGAAGTACTACAACGAACGTTTGCGAGATTTTCAACCATTAATCAAATCGATAGTCTGTAGGATAAACAATTTATTAAAATATATCATTAGTACTTAACAATTTTTTTAACATAAAATGCACGTTCACTGATGGGAAACTAATGAAGATACACTTAGTCACACGAGCCACCGGTAAAAATGAGTTCCGTTCACTGGAATTAGGTGCTAACTGCTCAGTGGACTCAAGTATATTCCAGGGCAGATGATTATGCAAAAAAGAAACAAGCGAAACTACAACATTCCCGGACTTCCCCGTACTTCATGTAACGCTCTTATAAGATAGTCTCATTATATGTAACAAATATTTCAACCAACTCCCCCAAATTTTACTCCATCAAATAACCTAAATTGCTTCAAGTTCAGAACCCAATTCTCATTTTCTAACATGTTTAAGTGATTTCGTAAGATAATTTGAGCATTCTGGTGCATACATTGCCAGATATCGTACATGTGAGTAGCGTTCTTAATCTAAACGAAACATCGTTAAAATATGAAATAATATTCGTTGCCTTCATATCGTTACCCGGAAACATTCCCCACACTTTGCACCGTGCTGAACAATCTTTTCGATAAAATATTTTAGTTAATGTAAAATAATAAGAAAATGATGATAATGATAAAGCAATATTTCAAACTTCAATTCTATTAAAATATTGGAAATGTTATGTTTGATCAAAATTAATTTATGGTTTGTTCATATTTTCAATATTTCAAGAGACCTTAAGTTTCAAACGAGACTTTTAAACATAGTAAATCGTCATTTCTATGTGAAAAAAATTACAATTTTCAGGAACATGAAGAAAATTTAGGGAAGTACTAATGGAAAGTATTCGGAATTATACGAGACAACTTCTGCAAGAACTTTCTCGCTAAATAAATATTTTCCTTGTGCTGTTTAAAGAAAATGTAGCGATTCAGCACAAATTTCAAACAATATTATCTCATGGAAGACATTATTTCCTTTGTTTTCCCAATACCCGTGGTATTTCTCAGAGCTCTGGGTGTACCGTAGGTCGTTTGTTTGTATAATGAAGACACTAGTTTTGAGCGGAAACTCCTAGCAAATTTGCCTTTCACCCTGACATCCACGTGCTATCTCCGACCAACATACGTGGAATTTGCGGGGGACAGACACATGACAATCGGAATGGGACTCAGCATAGTTTTTTCTGTTTCTTTATTTAGGTAAGGAGTTGATGTTTCATCGTTTAGGACTTACTATTAGTCTTTCCCAACCGTGAAGTGTTAATTTCGTCATTCAGCGTTTATGGGATATTTCCAACAAAATTGAAACAGTCGCCAAAAAATTTGATACCTCTTCGAAAAGTTACGAATTGCTTAATGGTTCAGCTGGTGAGTTTAGCCAGGCCTGCCCATAAGCACATTGCATTCTTATTTTAGTAATGTCGATGTAGAGATCAGTTGTGCAACTTTGCCACTTCTCAGAAACTAAAAATATTTTAAACCAAATTTGCAGAAAATGATTGTAATGCGTGGCTAAAAACATGAAGTACTAGTTATTAAATATACATAATATTCCTTAAAATGCATTGCAATTTATTTTGTGGTTCTTCGTTGATATATTCACACACACACACACACACACACACACACACACACACACACACACTATATGTAATCTCCAGGTGGTATTAGTTTACACTATGAAGGTCTTGGCAGGTAACGACGCGAAAGGGAAGGTCACAACTAAAACCATGTATCAATCATTAATTTGCATCATAGAATCATTCATGTGCATAAGCACACAGAAAGCTGCGCAGCGCAATATTGCCGCTTGCTGACCCTGCCGCGCGGCGCCGCGTTCTGTCTATACACTACCGGAGCTTTCGTTTCCCCTGCCTTTCACCCACCATTTTTCTGCAATCATTCATCTCATCATCATCATTGCTTTCATGTACTCAGTAGAACATCACTTATGGGTCTCTATGTTCACTACAGTTGAAGGGTCCCTAAACCTAAATTAAATAATAAATAAATAAATAAATAAATAAATAAATAAATAAATAAATAAATAAATAAATAAATAAATAAATACTTAATACACTTTTGATGGAGCTTACCGCTAATAAGATTCTAATATTAAATACAATACTGTACCTAGTTGCACCATTTACA